TGGACTGAATCCAAAGCGCTGCTGTTTTATATTGTTTCAGACTCTGTTTGTATTCAGATGCTTGCTTCTGGGTTTTGTCAAGTACACCAATTTCAGTAATAGACTGAACTTCAATCTTTCCCGAGATAAGGCCATTGTAAATTTTACCGATTTCAGTAATATTGTTTTCATTCTCAGACACTGCATTTTCAAAGATGTTTTCATTGTCATTGTCTTGCCCAGCCAGAACATTGTCATCAATAGATAAGTCTCTATGCTCATTTTCTGCATCATCTCTAGAAGGATTTACAGGGAGCGACACACCAAATAAATCTGACACAATCATTGAATTAAGAACATTATCAAGTAGAAAATGTCCTTGGATAGCTTTTGCAATTGCTTTCCCACTCATCATGTGAACCACAACATTTGAAGTGTACACAGGTTCCAATAGTTCGCTAAGACCATGTAGGAATATGTGAAGATGTTTTACTATCACGTTTAATGACATTTGGATTACAGTAATTTTGACGACATTCTGTGTGAACATATTACCCTGGAACAGTGAGTATGTTATCACCACGTTCAGTGCTTACAATGTTTATACCGGCAGACCCTTTCAGTCGTAACTGCACAATAGCTTTTTCATTCTGTAAACTTCCCTTACAAATAACACAAACGTGAGAGGAGTACGATATTTCCATCTGTAAGTACATTAAAAGTAACCTTATAACTTTTGGATTTAAAACATAAAAATAAAATGACATAAAACAGTTCGAATACATAGATTATCTAATGAGTTCTTATGAAATACCTCCAGGGTGTTAGTTATTAATTAAAAGTAGTGTTAATTTCTTAAATTATTTTACAAACAAACATTGAATAGGTGTTTGCTTTATAGTTACGTACCTTATTGACTGTTATCAACAACAACAATACTCATATAATAAGTGGATGTAGACCTATTCTTTAGACTCGCTACATATATTAGCACGTTTTATATTCGGGGGGGTCCATCTACAAATACAACTGTTTATATATATGTAGTAACACAAAATTCATATAATATACTGTTAAACATAAGGTCACACAAGAATAATACTGTTACGTCTCCGTTTGTTAGTTGATTTTCCGTAACTTCGTTCCGACAAAACTTTAGCGACACAAGTCCTTACTTAATAAAACTGGTTTATTCTTTCCGAATACAACTTTACCGATACACTTATTTTCAACAGTCGCGTTATAACAACGAACGTGCTCAACTTCAACAATACTATCTGACTGCAGTTCAATTACTCACTACCTACACACACACACATTTCGTCACGTTGTGAGCGTCTTATATATACCAGACCACCCCCCCCCCCCCCAATCTAGTAAATGCTAGAGCACTCCCGAAGGAACAGGATAGTTCTAGAAAGCAGGTGGCGTGACACTAGTCACGTGACCCCGCTGACGCAACAATACCAACGTGAACAAAATGCTGTTGTTCTATATTTTTTGTTTGTAATTTTATGATTTTTCCAAATTATGGCACGAATAGACTTCCTAGTTGTGAAAATCGACGAAGTCACGCCACTGATTTTTTTTTTAATTTCTTTTGTAAGGCATTATAATGAAGTTTATATTACAAATGTATCGTTATTTATCGAAAACAATAACTTTCCATCACTTTATACATATAAATACGCATTATTTTTACATGTTGCCATCCGCGAAAACTCATTTTATTGTATTTTTTTATTTATAGCAAAGCTCAAAAGGCATATCTGCCGCCGAGTAAATGCATGACACAATCTGATCGTCTGTTTGCATAATTTACGGACGTTTTAGCATTATAAATCAACTAGAATATACGTTTTGCACATATAATAAACAATACAATGCAATAAACTTACCATGTCCAGTTTATTTTCTTGTCACTACTTCAACAGTGTGTATCACCGGTCACCAACAAATTTGTGAGAAAAGCATATATTATACAATGGCTTATATGTACCACTTATAAAATGGCAAAATTTACTTTTAAAAAACGTTGTTGTTTTTTTAATTTCCCCTACTTAGATTTTTCTAGACTTTTGATGTGTTGCTCATAAAATATAGTTTTACATCATTCTTGCAAAAACAAATTCTGTTGCAGTTAGTTTGATGTTGACTACTATTATATGAGAGAGCACGCTTCTCGTTATGTGCCCGAGTAATTGACTCGAGAAATTTTTCATTCTGTTGCGTCATCAAGATCACATGACTACAGTGACGCCACGTTTCTAGAACTATCCCGTATCTTGGCGAATGCTCTAGTGTTTGCTAGATATAGGGTAGTTTGGTATATATAAGAGGGGACAACGTGACGCGAGATGATTGTAGTGTGTGTATAGATAGTGAGTAATTGAACTGCAGTCACAGGGTATTGTTGAAGTTAACGTTCGTTCGTTATAGTGTTGTTTTAGCGCGAGTATTGAGATTAAGTGTATCGCAGAGTTATATTCGGAAAGAATAAACCAGTTTTATTAAGTAAAGACTTGTGTCGCTTAAGTTTCGTCGGAATGAAGTTACGGAAAATCAATTAACAAACGGAGACGTAACAATACTGTTACGTATCTGCTTGTTTGTTAATTTCCCGTAGAAATTCTTTCCGAGAAACTTCAGCGATACAAGTATTTTCTTAATTAAAACTAGTTTATTCTTTCTCCATAGAACTCTATAATACTGTTACGTATCCGTTCGTTAGTTAATTTTCCGTAACTTCGTTCTGACGAAACTTTAGCGACACAAGACTGGTTTATTCTTTCCGAATACAACTTTATGATACACTTAATTTCAACAGTCGCTCTATAACAAACGCTATAACTCACGTCTCACGAGCTCGACTTCAACAATACTCTGTTCAATTACACACTCTCTGACTGCAGTTCAATTACTCACTACTCCTGCGTCGCTCCGTGGCCGGTCTTATATATACAAGACTACAGTATATCTACTAGGATCACGAGATTTAAGGAAAAAAAGTGAAAGTTCGAGAATGACGTGGCGTGATACTAGTCACGTGACCTCGATGTCGTAACAATACACAGAATTTCCACAGTCACTTTAAATTTAACAACCTTATAACACACGCTATAAATCACAGTGATTCACACACCTTACTTACGGCTTAACTCGATAATCTCTATCTTCAGTCTCTCTATCTATCCCCTTCTGCTTTATTTGCCGGGCTTATATACTAAAAAAGAGGGCGTCTGGAACAGACTAGAGTTGTTAGGATTATTCAAGATTCTTCGAGAATCTCATGACGTGTTACCAGCGTCACGTAGCTTCCGCTGTTGTAACAATACTTTGCGTGTATTTGTGTGGGCATATAGCTGCATTAAATATACGTACTGTTGCGTCAGCGAGGTCACGTGACTAGTGTCACGCCACGTTTATAGAAGTATCTTGTTCCTTCGTGAATGCCCTAGCGTTTACTAGATATAGGGTAGTCTGGTATATATAAGATGGTCACGGCGTGACGTGACAATATGTGTGTAGACAGTGAGTAATTGATTTGCAGTCAGAGAGTATTGTTGAAGTTGAGCACGTTTGTTGTTATAGTTTGTTTGTTGTTTTTGAATTTCGCGCAAAGCTACATGAGGGCTATCTGCGCTAGCC